GGGGGAGGGGTGCCAGCTCAGGCCAGGGCCAGCCCAACCAATGGAAATGCAGCTCCCAGTAGCCCCGCCCCACTTCCTGGGGGTTAACCCCAAGCTGGCATGGCCGTGGAGGACTACCAGGGCGTGTGGTGGGGAGGAGCCATCGTTGGCTCAGCTGAGAAGGGCTCATCCCATCAGCCTGTGGCGGGCAGGCGGCCCCCAGCCTGAGCAGGGCCCCCCCCAGCCCCCCCTGCCAGTGCCTCCTCCCTTACCCCTCACCACACCAATCCACAGCAGCTTCTGTGCAGCTGAGGCTGCAAACAGGAAAGGCCCCCTCCCGCCCCGCGCCAAACCAGCTGGGGACAGGCTGGTGTTCAGCAGCCGCGAGGGGAAGCGGTGCAGGGCTGCACCCTCCCATGGTCTGAATGGAGGTGCAGGGCCCAGCCCCCCCTGCCAGTGCCTCCTCCCTTACCCCTCACCACACCAATCCACAGCAGCTTCTGTGCAGCTGAGGCTGCAAACAGGAAAGGCCCCCTCCCGCCCCGCGCCAAACCAGCTGGGGACAGGCTGGTGTTCAGCAGCCGCGAGGGGAAGCGGTGCAGGGCTGCACCCTCCCATGGTCTGAATGGAGGTGCAGGGCCAGGGGTGGAGGGAGCTCAGGGCAGAGGCCCAGGGCATAGAAAGGAGCAGGGGAGGCGGGGATTGTGAGCTGGAGCGGGCGACTGGGGCGCAGGGCTGGGGTGCCGGAGGCAGGCTCTGGCCAGGAGATGCTTACTTGGGTGGCTCCCGGCCAGGCTCCATGGCCCTGCAGATGGCTCAGAGCAGCCGGTTGCAGGGTCACGTGTGGCGCTGAAGGCCAGGAGCCCGAGGCGAGGGATCCCCACGCTGACTCCCAAGATGGCCTGGGCTGCTGGATCTGCTGTGTCCCTGCCCGACAGCTGCAGGGCAGTGCCCACCCCCTTGGCCTCAGCTCTGGCTGGGGGGCAGAGCTTGGCCTTCATTGCCAGGCATCCCTAGGCTGGGGAGGCAGACTTGCCACAGCACCGTGCTTTGTCCTGGGCGGGCGCGCCTGCACTGCACATGCTGCCACTGGGGAGCGGGCAGCCACGGCAGGGGCCTGCAGCCCCAGCCCGAGGCGCAGGGAGCTCTGCTGGCTTCCGGTCCCCAGGCTCTAGGGATGGACCGAGCTCCAAAAACCCATCGGTTCCTGCAACAGATAACACCCCCGCCAGGACACGTTGCAGCAGGCTGGCCAGCAGCCCGGCTCAGTCCTAGCTCCCGCTGCGGCTCTGCATTTAATGCGTATCAGGAGCCGGGCGGGCACCTGGCTCACACCAAGTCCAGGAGCTCAGGCCCCCTGCCCCGAGCAGGGCGACAGGCAGCTGGGCTGTGAGGGGAGGCAGGTCAGAGGCAGCAGCACGGAGTGACGGGGGCTGCTCTGGAGGGGCTGGAGCACACTGGCCGCCGGCCCCCCGGGACCACGGAATAGTCGCGCAGCGGAGAAGAACTCGTGAGGTTACTCGACTAGTCAATACCGGAGATTTCCGAGCCCTACCGGGCACCCCCACTTCGAGGCCACTGCTGAAGCCTGGCTGGTCACAGACGATTTAATGATAATTACACCTCAGGGCGGGTCGCGCGGCAGCGGATTGTCAGACTTGGGAGCTTCAATTAAAAAATAGAAACTCTTGGGAGGCTCCTGCGTGCTGAGAGGCCAGTGCCACAGGGCGCCCCGGGCGCCAGCTCCTCACACATACTGTTGCTTGTTCTTGGGGGCTGCCTTGCTGGCCAGGTCCTTGGCCTTCTCCGTGGCCGCTAGGGCTGTCTCCTTGGCCTTCTCCGTGGCTTCCTTCGCCGTCTCCACCAAGGTCTTGGAGGGAGCTTCCCCTGCAAGGAGCAAGCGTAAGCCAGCTGTGAGCCCGGCAGCTCTCCCCTCAGCCAGGCTCTCAGGAGGCCTGCGGCCCTGCCCGTGTCTTCACTTGCGGTACAGGCTGACAGCCTCCCGGGGCAGGGGACAGCGTTCTTTGTGGCCTGGGGCTTTGCAGCAGGGAGGAAACCCAGGGGCATGGACCAGGGGCACCCCCTGACCCACATCCTCAGTGAGCACCCCCCCGACCCACATCCTGAGCCCCCCCCCACCATTTGCTGCAAGCCAGCCCTCCAACTGTGGGGAGCCGCTGGGGCCTCCACTCCCTGCCCTGCTGTGGTGCCAGCCTGGGCCTGGTATTTCTGTTCACACGCTGGCAGGGGCAGGAGGAGCGAGGGAGAGCCAAGCAGGCCCATGTCTGTAAGACCTGCCCCCTCACTCCACCAGGCAGGAGGCGCTG